TGGTTGAAATTGGTAACCCTCTGACTGTGGTTTCTCCCTTGTTATTGTGCTATCCTTTTTAATTTTAGACTGAAATATTTTAAAGCTTAGAGTTTTAAACACCATAAATTAACTTAGTATTATTAAATAACATAATTAAAGACAATTTAGTGATTTTCACTTGTTAGACCCAATTTTTTTAAAACTTAACTGTAGGTTTGTGATTGGATGTTTTTTCAAATTTCTAAAATGAATAAAGAAAGTGGTGGATGGAATTTAATATGGGACCATTTATGTACCAACCTACACTTTAACTATTGGATGTGTACACATATGCACTTTGATGGATCTAACTATTGACAGCCAGGCCAAAGGCACAAAACCAAAATTGTCCCTCGATTTCTAAACGATAAAATATTAGTGGTAAATTTTGATTCTGAAGGTAAAATTTTATTCACTACCTGCATGAATCCAAAGCTCCCCTACCTTCAGTAATGTAAAAGTAAAAATAAGTGCAATGAAATGTTTTCATCATATGCTCAAGATTTTATTGTTCCAAACACCAATTAACTTGTGGGTGATCAATTTAAAACAAAAATTAACCAGGATAATGAATGTATAAGGATGAAATCATAATATATATTCAGAAATTTTAATTTTTAATTAATTTAAAATTGCACAATTGCAAAAAAATCAACATTACTTATGAATTTTCTGAAATATGCATCTTTTGTCCTTACATACTCATCTTTAGTTATTCCATATTTTAGCTAACAATACTTAAGATATTTTTTAACATAACTGGAATAAAATGTGATATGAATGTTTTTGGTTCTGTTTTTCTAATTGAAGTGCAAATTATATTCACATTATAATTTAATCATACAATTTATAATTTTCAAAAATCCTGCATGAATAAAAACTTTTGTATGATAAGCTAAGGCAACACTTATGTTTATTAGAAAATGTATGCCATATATTATCTTAGAATATGATTAGTAAACATTTAAAGTTGTAAATTAAATGAGAGCAGGATATTTGTAAATTATTTATGGCACAATGACCATGTATCTTGTTATTTTTATTTTAAGTTTTTTTTTTTATTTAAATTAAATAAAAATAGTATTTAGGTTTTTTTACTGGGTACTAAGTATTATAGATTTTGATATTTAAATTACACATTAGTTTGAATTTTTTCCAAAATTTGGTGATTCTGATGAATTAAAAGTAATAAGTTTATTCATTATATCTATTAATCAAATAATAAATGATATAAAAATACACAAATGTTCAAGATTTGACAACCTGCTTTTAATACATGAGTGATTCATAGAATCATTTAGTTTATCTTTTTGTTCAAAATATTTTCATTGAGTTCTAACTTTTAAAATTTCTAAATCTTTTGTATAAATATTCTTCAATGAATTGTATCTTACAATGTTTTGTTTTTTCAGTCTAAAATATTAAAGTTTAATGTATCTTTAAACCAAGTAAATATATTTGGGAATTATATGCATGCATCGCCAAGTTCCAAAATAAATCATGGGAAATTTCATTTGTCAAGCTATTCTTCTTCGTCTCTGACTACCGTCTTTAGTTGTTGTTTTTGAAGCATGGTCTTTAGCTAGAGCTCCTCCCTTATCTGTTCATGTCTGAATCTGTTCCTTCTGGTCTTTCCAGCGGCTCTCAGAAGGAACTTCATTTCAGCACCTGTCAGTCAGCTGGTCTGTTTGTCCAGTATAACCCAACTTTCACTTTTATAAGTCAGGGTTGGTCCCCAAATAGGTAAATTCCAGTACAGCCTCGAGTACTTCACCACTACAGGTCAATTGAACATACACTTGTTTCTCTCTTGAAAGAACTCAGATCTCAGAACTCAGAACTTGCATTTGGAGGTTTTGAAGATCATTCCTTTGTGGATGAGCTCTTCCTGACATTCAACAAGGGCCTGTTGCAGCTTGTTTCTCGTGTCTACTATCAGTGCAACTTCATTGGTAAACAATAGGCTTTGAACCATTACATTACTCATGTTGCACTTACCGATGACCTTCTATGCAGTATGGCGCAAAATTTTATCAATTTCATCTAAAAATATGATAAGTGGGGACTCTGTTATCACTTCTCTTCTTATGAGAAAAGGCTTGGACTCCCTTCCACTGATCTTCACAACTCCTTTCACTTTAACAGCTGTGATAAAGTCTGATAGATCATTTTTTGCTGCCAAAGCATCCCATATTTCTTTTCTGTGGATGGAGTTGAATGCTTCTTTAAAATCCAGGAATGCCATGCACATGTTCTTATCTTTGTCCCAAGCTTTCTCTGTGGTGCTTCTCAGTATGAAGACATAGCCTTGAGTCTATCTTCCTGGAGGAAAGCCTGCTTGTTTTTCTTCTATTTGATTTTCAACAGTGGCCCTTAAACTCCTTTCCAGGATTGGCTTCCTTTCTTTCTGATAGAGAGTCCCAATTATACTGAACTACCAATCTCTTGGAGTCATCTTTGTGTCCCATATTTTTTAAAGAAATTTATAAATTCTTAACCTCCAAATTTCAGTAGTTCTGGAGCTATCCTTCTATAATTCGTCAAGCTATTCTATAATTATTAATTATTAGGAGTTTTCCAGAGTGTTGAGAATATAAAGGAACAGTTATATTCGGGCAAATTATCAATTTGCTGATAAAAATGATTTTATTTTGATTTATCAAGATTCAAGGATGATTGTATATGAAAAGTATGTCTTTAATGCTTTACTAAATCCATCACTGTTAGGGAAAGGAATTCTTTCAGTACCCTATTTTACAGAGGTGTATACTATCCACATATTTTCCTGAAGACCGATTATAATTAACTTTATAAAAGTTAAATGTTATATAACATTTTCTTAGTTTTAATTGCAATGAGACTTATTTTTATTTTTTTAAAAAATAAGTAACTATTTAGGCAAAATAAAAACATTAAATTTGACCAGATAAATTCATAATTTTATTCACTTCTAATAAATTTTTATAACTTTGGTGGGCCCCTAATTGGTAACTGATAATATTACAAAACAAGTACGATCTATTGAAATTTTAACGATCAAGATAATTAACTCTGTCTTTTCAGAATTCTGAAGGACGCCAATACCTTTACCTTTGTGCCTGAATACCTTTAATTATAATATTTGATTTTTACAAATTGAAGGCAGCATCCTGTAATCACCCATTAATTACAAGAGAATCAAATAATAGCAACTTTTCACCTGTGAAATAATGTTTCTATAAAGTGCTTTGAAAACTGAAGAGATCTTTTAATATTTAACAACAGCTTTTGAACTTGTTGAATTTTATTTCATTCAAATATATAAAAAATCTATTAATTCACTCTAATTTTAAATATTTTATGTCGCCCTTAAATGAAAACAAAAAGGATTAAGATAAGCTACATTTCCTATCATCTACAAAATCTTTTAATATGTGCCATATGATTGTTAGTTTATAACACTATTGTTCGAATCTGACCAATAAGGGTTGACTTTTCTTTGGTGGGGATAATACTATCATATAATAAGTCTTGACCTTCACGTTCTGGCTAGACTAAGCTGGTAACATTTAGGATGACCTGTCTTTCGTGCCCAAGTATAAAAGAGTGTTAAATCCAACAAATAAATAAAATTCTGCATATAAAGTTGGGTTGCTGTTAACTTCTAAACCACATTAATATCTGACAAAAAATAAAATACAATAGATAAATAAAAGAAATAACAATAATATATAATATAGATAAATAAAAGACAAAAACAAAATAAAATGAAAGATATAGACTTATTCATTTTTATTTATGTTGTAATTTGGTAATATAAAGAGAAAGCTACAAGGGTGATTTAACTTCAGTCCCAAATAATGAAAAAAAAAAAAAATTTTCCACATAATAAACAAAATAGAAACTATAATAAAATAGTAACAATGAAATGCTACCAAAATAAATATTATACTATCAATCACTTTCAAAATTATTAATTAGAACAGGATAGCAAAAACCGAATGGTAATTTTTAAAATTAATAAAACTTCTAAGATTGTTAACAATTTTTATTTAAATATTCAAACATGAAGTTTAAAATAAAATAATAATAATGTTTATGTTCAGAAAACCATTTTAGCATGGGATAACAGTCATGAAGTAAAGTTAATGACCATCACTGGATGTCTATGAGTCAGTTACAATAACCAATCTGCCAATTAATACGGCATAGGAGTATTGAACACTATGTTTCTGCTGGATTAGGAGAGAGAAATTATAGTAAAAGTCATGAACAACGTTGAGAAAAGGATTTTCATGAAAACCTTCTTTGAAGGAAGGATTTGGATGAAAACATCTTAGAAAAAAGAATTTTGATATTGCTTTCATAAAGAACAGCACATTCGAATGTGTTTTTTGAACATGAATTATTACTTACAATATATATATATATATATATATATATATATTATATTATATATATTTATATTTATATATATTTTTTTTTTTTTTTTTTTTTTTTTTTTTATAGTACACTGTGAATTCTAACCAACTCATATGATTAAAAGCTGTTTATTGGGTCTTTAGTTTATGGTTACAAAAAATTTACTTCTAACATTCATTACTATTACTAATATTTGAGGTTTATTTGTCTAATGTTTTTTGGTAAACCAAAAAAAAAAAAATTAAAATCAATCTTTGTGTACTGACGTCCAATCTTTATTTTTTCATATAAATTCAAAAAATTATGTCAACAATCTTGGAATGTTTTTGTATTTTTAAAATGACCATTGATTTTGTGTTCCCTTTATTCGATAGTAACAATTCTTTTTATTATTGAAGGAAGTGATAATTTGTGAAATTCATATTTTATTCATCTTACATCTTCTCTGTTGCTATAGAGAAAAATTTGTATACCATGTATCTAAAAATAGGAATAAGGGTAATGGAGATGGGAGGTGGTGAATTGACATTGCAGGAAACTATTCACGCTTGGCCTGTGAGATCCAGTTTGTGCGCTCAATGGGCTACTACCTCATCCAGATTTACATCCCCTCCGGGCTCATCGTCATCATCAGCTGGGTCAGTTTCTGGCTCAACAGGAATGCTACACCAGCTAGAGTTGCTCTAGGAGTAACAACTGTGCTCACCATGACTACACTCATGTCATCTACTAACGCCGCCCTGCCTAAGATATCGTATGTCAAGTCCATTGATGTTTACTTGGGAACATGTTTCGTCATGGTGTTTGCGTCATTGCTTGGTGAGTTATTTATTTTAATTTCTCATCTAGTTAATTTAAAAATATATATATTAAATTACCTATCTCCGCCATACCTATCAATTTCACAGTTTTAATAATTAAAATTACAGCATCTTATTATTAGGAAAAATTACTGAAAATGTTCACTGACTAACTGTTATTCATACCATGTCTGATTTATATAATTTTTAATTAAAGTATTGAAAGAGGTTGATAATACTAATGATTGTCAAATCTCTTTTATGCTCGTTCTATTTCGAACCTGTTTTTCTCTTCTTTTTTTTTATTTACTCAGCTTTAGAATCCAGTCATAAAACAATAACAAGATAAATGAACTTAATAAATAATTTATTCACTCTCAAAAAGAAATTAATTTTTAAAATTTTAAAAAATGTTATTTGTGGGTTGCTTGTTGATTGTAGTGAATAGTTGAAGATCCTTCTCTTCATAGTATATATTAGATGTATAATTACCTTCATTCCTTTATATATTATAGATTTGCAAATGTATTAACAATGGATTAATGTAAAAAGACAAGGTTGATTTTGTCAATATGTATCCTTGCAGTGTTTTCCACCACTTTATCTAGAGATGGTGTTAGTTTCTTCTTTAGTTAATTTCTCTGATTATTATTTGTTTTGTCTGATTTTTCATAATTTATTGTGGTCATATTGATATTATTAAATTAACATTTTTTAATTGAGGAGAAGGATGGTTAGGGTGATCAGTCAAAATAAAATCATAAAAATAAATAATTGTATTTATGTTTTGCAGAAAGATGATGCCATTTTATTGGCTATTGAATTTACTATTTTATTTTGACTAATCACCCCAACCATCCTTCTCCTCAATTAAAAAATGTTAATTTAATAATATCAATACGGCCACAATAAATTATGAAAAATCAGACAAAACAAATAATACTCAGAGAAACTAACTAAAGAAGAAACTAACACCATCTCTAGATAAAGTGGTGGAAAACACTGCAAGGATACATATTGACAAAATCAACCTTGTCTATTTACATTAATCCATTGTTAATACATTTGCAAATCTATAATATATAAAGGAATGAAGGTAATTATACATCTAATATATACTAAAAGTGAAACAAGTATTAGCTTCCCAAGTTTTTTGTCTTTCTAATCTAAAACAAAAAAAATGTTTTTTTTAAATTAAATACATTACAAGAATAGTTCTTCAGTTCTATATATTTAGCAAAAAATTATAAAAATGTAAAATCTAAAACAATAATATTAAATTCTGAATTTTGACTGATCACCCCAACCACTTTCAATTATTCTCTAAAGTCAACCATCTATCCACAATTACGTGTCTTTCGTTTGAATTTCCGCTTTTATAGAGACCTCATTTTTTTTAATTTCATCATTTTAATTAGCATAAATGACCAGCGCTTAAACAAAAAAATAACATGATTTTGACTGATCTTGACTGATTTTGACTCTATTTTGACTGATCATCCTAACCATCCTAATTAAAGCAGTTATGATTTTAAATCTGTAACCAAAATTGCTATCTAGCAAACTATGTAGGGGTATTTCTCTGAAGTTTTTATGATTCACTTTTTAGCGAATCCCTCTCCTCAATCCATCAGAGAAATCAACTTCCTTAACTTAAACCATAACTCGTGTTATAACCTATGAAGTGTTCTATTTCATAATAAAATTTGCCTTATTAGATTATTAAAATCAGATAATGTTTAATGATATTAGAAATCAAGTAATCAGGTTGAATTATTAGGTGTTTTATAATAATTAAATTTTTAATGAATCATAATTTAATTTTAAATGTGTTTGAGAAATAGTATCAAAAGGAATAAAGATACAGATTTGGTCTTAAATAAACCATATTAAAGAACATTGTACCATTCTACCATTCTAAAAAGGAATAAAGCGTAATTGGTTGAATGATCAAATGACAACCCAACACGTCAGTGGATAGAATATAAAGTCGCATCATCTTTCTGCAGAACATAACTGATGTTTTGAAATGTGCTCACGGGTGATAAAAAATATACAAGTTTATAATTATCAGACGGTATTGAAGTAATGACCATACCTTGTGTACTTTTATCGGAAATCATAATGTGGTAACGGCCCATGGACAGTCTGTCAGGAAGAAAGAAATATCATCCTGCAGCCATAATCCATTGATCTAGACCAATTTTTCATTGTCCTTGAACCCAAGCAAGTCGGTGGGAAGGGCACTGCCAGCTTGGCCTCAAGGAGATCGGCTATGGAGCTAAGTGTGGCCTGCTGTTACACATTTAAGATCATGGTCTTTAGCAACATGAGGTTTTATGAGACCATCCATGCTATCTGTTCTCCCTCAAGTAATCAATATCTGTAAGAAGATCATATCATGCAACCATAGATCTACATGGTCTATAGGGCCAACCAAAAAAAAAAAAAAATAATGATATTAATTGTAAGATCAGGATTTAAAAAAAAAAAAACTGTCAAAGAGGTCAACAGTAACAAAAAAAAAAGTTTAAGAAATGTATGATAATCTTTGGAAAGTTATTGATACTTCAAATGAGAGTTTCAAGAAGTTTGGTGAAAAAATGAAACTGTTTAACAAATATTTTGTAATTTATGAGTGATTAATTTAATTCTTATGCCAAAAAAAAATATTTCAATCACACAATTTTAGTTACTTTTTTATTAAATTACAATGCATTTATAATTCTTTAAGCCTAAAATTTAATTATTTAATTTAATTTAATTCAAAAGACAATAATGAGATAGGTGATTAAAAGCCTTCAGTTATTTTTTAACTTATCATTCTTTGGAAATAACTTTTGAAAATACCAAAAGTTGCAATTATATTAAACAGTCTAAGTTCTTTAGATTAATTTATAACAATACTGTTTAAAATTTGTATTGTAAGTATAAATATAAAAAATTGGCACTCAGGTCTTTGAAATAATGTCAATTAAATGAACTTATACCAATGATAAAAAAAAATAAATGACAAAAAAAAAGCTTGTATAGCTGACAAGAAATTTTGCATATTACATAGGATTGAGGTTTTTCTAATTACAGAACAAAAAAAAAGTTTTTTTTCTCAATTTGGTTATAATTAGAAATTATTCAACATTCACTTAGCTCATACTTGTCATATCACTTATAGTCTTGATAAAAGTATCATTTTTCAATATGATTTGTTTTTTTTTACAGAATATGCAACGGTAGGCTATATGGCAAAAAGAATACAAATGAGGAAAAATCGATTTCTAGCAATACAGAAATTGGCTGAACAAAAGCAGAAACAGGGTATGGAACCACCTGGAGATCCTGACCATGCACCGAAACCTGCGATTCCTCCGCACAGTCACACTCTACCAGCTAGTCACCTCAAGTCATCATCAAACATTGTATGTAATACGTTTATTTCAGTTTTCGTAGTATATTAGAATGTTTTTCACAGATATTGTACAACAAAATTATTTGAATGGGCATTCTAAAAAATGACATTTCTACTTCATTTCAAAGTACCAGATACTCATTTGAGGATTATCTGTTACCCATTGCATTATCCATTTATTTGTGAATTCAAATCAGCCAACAATTGTGTTCAGCGTGAACTTCTATACCAGGTCGTATATAAAAGCTTTGAAACCCTAGAAAATCTGATCTTGATAAAACTGAATATGGAGAAGATTGAAAATGTAGTGTGTATTGAAGGTGATCTCTCTCAGGAATTAATTGCTGCTGAAGGAGCCTGATAAGGAGAGTCCCTTGAGTGTCTATTGTTTAATTTATGGCTGAAATAAACGTTCAGAGATTCAGGGATCTAGTCAAGAAGAAATATTTTCAACTATACAATCCAAATTATTGGTTATGCAGATGGTTCAGATTTAATCTACTTTAGTTCTCCATTGTAAAAAAGACCTTTCTTCATTTTGAGTCATCTGTCAAAAAAATCCACCTAGTTATGAATTCTAAGAAAATCATACATTAAAGAAGTGAAGCATACTGATTTTGTCACCATTCAATTTGAATGTCTTCGTGAATTTGTATATCAAGAATCTCAAATAAATAATTATAATGCTATTTGGGTTAAAATGATAATAAGAACAGCATCTGTTAATTGATACTATTTTGGACTTTTTTGACTATTGGGGAGCTCTTTACTTTCATGAACTATAAAAATATAACTACATAAGATTAGTACTTATTAATAAATGTGAAACATGTTTTTTTTTTTTTCTAAAAATAGTGAGAAAAACCTATGTACATTTGAAAGAAAGATTTTTCAATATATTTATGTTTCGCTAAGAGAGAACAGGATATGGAGAAGTCCAACAAACTGCAATCCTGATCAAAAGAGCCACATGTTGTTAAATGTTAAAGTATGGCAGGCTTCAATGGGAGAGGTGGATGCTCATTTAATTTCTTGATTAGGAATTGCATGAGAAACTGCAACAATAATAATGGGCTGATGATTCAAAAGATGAATGAGGAACATGTTTGGTGATCAAAGCTGTAGGAAAGTTGCACTTAAAGGAATGAGCTGGTGAAATCTACTTGAGGAGGCCAGGATGGGTTTTTAGTACTGATTGATGGTGATAAATAAAAAATTTAAAATTTTTAGAACTAGGTATTTTAATTACTTTGTTAAGAAATAATTGATAACATTATGTATACATGTTTAAACTTAAAATTTATTTTATTACACGGGAAGATATTAAAACTTTAAAATTATATTGGGTTCTCAAATAAGTCCTTTTGGTTTTTCTGTTTATTTTTATGTCACTATGATACACTTCTTATCTGATGAATTAAATCCTAAGGTGGATTGTTTATCCTGTTTGTAATATGTCAACAACTATATCTGTTAACTCTTGTTAAAATTTGCTGAGTATTGTGTTTGCTATTGCACTGTGAATTTGGAAAAAAATGTAATTCATTATCGGCATATTTTGTTGTATTATTTTTAAAAAATTGAGCGTACTGCAGAAGCTCATACCAAAATTGGCAGTGTTTATGGGGGACGATTCCTTAAATGGGGATCTGCCAAATTTCATTCAGGAAATTTTGACATCAATGATGCTCAATGGTCTAGTCGCCCTATGAAATTGAAACGAGCAATGTTAATGCCATTGTTGATCAAAATCCCACCCAATCAGTGTGAGAGATTGCTATGGCTCTAAATGTATCGCACACAAGCGTAGAAAACCATTTGCACAAGCTCAGCTATGTTTCCAGGCTTAATGATTGGGTCCCTCACTCTCTAACTGAAGTCAACTTGGCAACACGCATTTTTGTTTGTGGTTCACTACAGAAACAGCAACAAAATGACCCACTTTTGAAAAGGTTGGTAACTAGAGATGAAACATGGATATTTTAAGATAATGTAGTCCATAGAAAATCTTGGGGACCTAGTAATAAAGCTCCTAGAAAAATGTCAAAATCCGGATTGCATCCAAAGGAGATAATGCTTTCCATATGGTGAAATTTCAAGGGTGTTATTTTCTATTAGTTATTGCCACCAGGACAAACAATTGATTCAACTCTATATTGCTCACAATTAACTAATTTGGATTAATCAATTAAAAATAAACACGCAGAACTGGAAAATCGGAAGGGTGTTGTGCTATACCAAGAAATGCTAAGCCCCACACCTCATTGGTCACTTGCAATAAATTATTGAGCTGTAGATGGGACATTTTGTCCCACCCTCCCTATTCATCAGACATAGATCCAAGTGACTTATTCTGGTCTCTGCAGATCTCCGTAAATGGAAAGAAATTCCAAAAGGAAAAGGACATCAAAAACCACTTGGATCAGTTTTTTAATAATAAAGTCCAGACATTCTATGTACATGGCAATATGCAGTTAGTGGAAAGATGGGAAAAAGTCGTATTAAATAATGGTCAATATATTCTAGATTAAAATAAATTTTATGTCTATAGTACATGGAGTTTTATTTCACTCTGAAAAAAACAAAAAGATTTATTTTCCAACCCAATACATAAGCTTTCCATCTAATGTGTTTTTTCCAATAGAACTTTCTCTTAATTTAGAGACAAATAGAATATTGAATCATTGTTTTTTTTTTTTCTTTTTCATTTTATCTGAAATAAAATAGAAAAGTCATGTTTTTAATATATTTTAAAATAACGGATAAGTTGCCCATTAAAGTAATTGGTTATGAAAATAATAGTAAAATAAGGTCAATAGCAGATTTGATACTAAAGAAGAAAAACATTAGTTTTATAAATTTTTGAAATTAAAGTATTAAAACTTTTTAGGATAAATGCATGCCAAATTGTTCTTATGATCAATTATCTTCTCTATATAAAATGCTACATAATTTTTTATAAACAAGATTTATTAATAGTTACATATTAATTTCAATCCTTATATTTTTTTTTATCATTCTTTTTTCATCATTCCTTACACTTACATTAGAACAGAATTAGTTTTATAGATTGCTTTATATCACTAGAAGATATTTAAAAATATAAAATTTAAGTTACATAAGCATCTATCAACTGCTGCTAATTTAATGTGAATTATTATATTTTATCAGTAAACAGCTGTGTCCCTTTTAAGTGGTTTTTCGGCATTTGTTCCAGGAGGTGCGTTTTAAAGTGCACGATCCTAAGGCTCATTTTAAGGGGGGAACTCTTGAAAACACAATAAATGGTCGAGCTGAAGAAGAGGCTGCTCCACCTGTACCTCAGCATCTTATCCACCCAACAAAGGACTATAACAAGCTGTATGGGATTACACCGTCAGATATAGACAAATACAGCAGGATTGTCTTCCCGGTTTGTTTTGTCTGTTTCAATCTTATGTATTGGATCATCTACCTCCACATCAGCGATGTGGTTGCGGACGACCTTGTTCTTCTAGAAGAGGACAAGTAAGAGCCTGGCCCTCCTCACTGCTCACAACTACCAAGAGGAGGCAGGCCACTAAAGTTTAAAAAAAAAGTCTCACAAAAAAAGACATTCCTCTCATTTTTACTTCCCGCCCAGTTTTTGGAGACTATCTTCCTCGCCCTCCAACGCCAAAGGGTCAATTCCTTTCTCTTGTTTTGGACTTGCTCTACAGCTATATACATATATATGTATATATATGTATATGTATATGTGTATATATATATATATATATATATATATATATATATTATATATATATATATATATATATATATATATATATATATATATATATATATATATATATATATATATATAAATGAATTATAAATTTTAAAATAAGTATATATAGGTGTAAAGATAAGTGTGGCAATAATTTAGTAATTCCAGACGCACATGGAATCCCCATGGAGTGGATTCTCATGCTGGGCATGTGCCTCTAAAGAACAGTCTTAACTATGGATGTCATTCAATGAAAATTCTTATAATATATAGTTATACAACAGTGAATTTGCCTTATTTGCATCAATTAAACCAATGATATGAATGAGATTTGAAAGTTTCAGTAAGTTTTGTAAAGGATATAGTTTAAGGGGTAAAAATAAGACGGAGCAAACTGTTGTTAAACTTTAACAAATTCTAAAGTAGGATGTAGGATGAATATTTTATATCGACGGCCAAAAAAAAAAAAAAATGGTAGCATCTTAACACAAAGCGCACTTTTTAATAATTTAAATATTTCTTCTGTTATGTCACTCATCTCACTTTTTAACATAATATGACTTTCTCTTATGAACAAATACATATTGCACAATAAAAAAGGCCGACATTTAGACAAGAAGAGAAACTGTGTTTATATTCAACAAAATATGTAACAATTGTGGATTTTATATACTGTTATTTATATATCTTTAAATATTTTATTAAATTTGAGTTTTGTTGAAATATATAAATTTTATTAATAAATTATTTCTTTAAGGTTTTATCAATTTGTTTGTAAATAATGTGTAGTATAGTTTATTTTGACATTAATTAATAAAATATGATTTATTGTAAATATTTTATATGCTTATACTTTTGGAATATAAATTATATCATTATGAAAAGGCTAATTTTCTTTTATCTTAAGATTTTCCTTTTTAAGGTTATTGTGTAGACATCTAGATCATTCTATAGAATGGTTAATGAACTGTGATATGCTATTGTTTTAATTCTTAAGTGAAACATTAATAAAATAAAATAATGAAAAAAAAATCCTTTATATTTGCACTATGAACACAGTTTCTTTAGAAAACATTGACAGCATGTTACCAAAAAAACAATTATTACATTAAATAATCTGGACTGACATAGATATTCGTGATAATAAAATTATGTTAATAAAGTTATATAAATATATTATTATACATATATATAAATATATATATATATAAATATAAATTAGGCAAGTTGTGTTTCATAGTATGTATTTGTAGAACACTGAATGTGTGCGAAAAAGATATAATAGGTCCAAGTGTGTGAATGTGTTTATGTGTGAAAAACCTGTAATCACGCTATACATAAGTATATAAATGACTTTTATAGCACAATTTCAGTTAAATTCACATAATTTGAATTTTTAAACTGATAGTTACACTGCACCAATGATGATTTCAATTTCTTGCCTCTAGGATTATACAAACTAACCTAGTTGAAAAATTGTTTTCATAAAATAATACTAGGTATTTATAAATTAATATTATAAATTGTATTCTAAAATAAATGAGTAAACATCTTATGATGCAATATCTACAGTGCCATTGGTGCTAGCCTCCAGCATATGACTCTTATATGATTCTATAAGTCTATATATATATATATATATATATATATATATTATATATATATATATATATATATATATATATATATATATATATATATATATATATATATATGTAAACTATTAAAAACTGTGGTTGTGAAAGACTGGGGGGTACATATGTATATAAATATACATTAGTGAAGAAACTTTTAGTGCAGTGATAACATCTTCAAGAAATTTATATTCAATGTATTTAATTTAATTTTGGCATAACTAAATACATTTATTGATTTTCACATAAAAGTTGTTTTCCAATCCACAAGTACCATAACGTAATTAAAACATATTTTACAACTATCTTATTTATTTAATTATAAATTTCCTTGGTAACGTTAACCAAATAAAGTACCTTATATTTTAATGTAAATAAAAAACACAAAAATTAAAAAAAAGTGGTACCATAAATAAAGATTGGTCAATGTATAGAAGATCATTTGTGTCAATTTTCATTTTAAATAGACTGTTGGCTGCTGTTTACCCATTTCACTTTCACTTTAAACAATTTGTCAAAGCTTTCCATCATTTTTGGGACCATTGACAATGAAGAATTATACGGGACTACAATTTTCCTTTCCCTTTTTCTCACTCAATGTTTAAATTTATTTACAAAGACACAAAATTTGTTTTTGTGAAAGTGATTAAGGGAAATGCATTGAATACATAGGTGCTGAAGGCTTCATTTATGTTATTATTTATAAGTACTTATAGTATTATGTTATAATTTACTTAAGAGGAAAAAAAGGGGGTAGTTTGTATATACTAGATTGTTTTTCTTCAAGAACTTCTCATTATTTCAATTCAACATATCATACATGCTTATATTTATGTGCTTGATGGCATGATTCTCATTAAATACATCATAATGAAAAAAAAATTAATTCTTTAAAATTTACATTGAGCATTCATAACTATTTAAAAACACTCACATAAAGTATATTTATCTGGCACAAACTTTTGCTATAAGCTGTTTTTAAAATATACCAGAACTTGGAATAAATTTTCTTTAGACACAACTTTATCTTTTTATGATCACAATCAATTTTCGTTTTAAATGATTAGTTTGATGAAAAAAAAGTTATCTAATATATGAAACATTCATTACAAATGAGTAAAAAAAATAAACTAATAACATCTGGATTTTAATATCATGATAAAATATATTTTTTTTAGAAAAGTTTCTGTTAGTGAATTTTTAGTAACAAATAAGTTGTTGTCACTGGTTTATAAGAAACACTTTTTTAATGTATATGCAACCCAATATTTGACTTTTTTAATTATGATCTTGTATTTAATGAGTGATGCTTAATATATAAGTATGTGTGATCATTCAGATAGAAAATAAAATGTATTAACGTAAAATTGCACGAATAAATTCTCTGTAAAAGTAAGTTTTGATTTACAGTTCCAATCTCATGAATTATATTAGTTCCTTGAGTAGGATTCTATATTAAAAAAAAATTATGAAATAAGAATTCATATTTCCTCACATTTTAGTTTATTGCACTTCTTAAATCAATGGAATTCTAAAATTATTAATATAATACAATACGTGGTAGAGATATATTTATGTCAATAGATAAGTTAGTTCAGTATCAATAGGTAATCCTACTTTTGTTCAAACACAGAACTTCATTTGTACAGATTATTTATTCTGTCATATAACTATTATTACAAGAGTAAATACATAAAACTGATGGAAAATCTAGATAATATATATATAATATAAATATATAAGAGGTGTGTGTACACCTCTCCTTCCTTCCTATATGCTCTGTACATAGTGATTTTTGTATTGATATGTATTGAAAAGGTAAATATATTATTTTTGTGCTTCCTTCTATGGAAGCAAGTAATTAAGTGTATAGTAAAACTCAATTAGGCTTGATGTAGCTAGGGGCTCTGTAGGGCATCAAATCAAATAAATCGATTGGTAGGAGAGGGGTTCAACTTATTCCATATAGTTCATTAATGGATTTATTTTAGTTCTGTAAACAATAATGTCTAAATTGTTTACTTTTATTATTTTATTATCTTTGTAATATATATATTTCTAAATAGGGCCTTTATTGAAATACTGTATTTGTGATTGACCTAATGTGGTTGTGATTTGTTATAACTTTTTTCATAATTAAAATATTACAGTAAATTCCACAAACAGTAATAGTAAATACAATAGGAAATATGATAAAACATATAAAAAGCAGACTCTCCCTTATCTGGCATTGTCGCCTAGATACAGAAACTTTCCAGTTAATTAAATGGAAATATTAACAGCTTACAACTTTTTTCATCTAAGCAGAATAATAATTGAGGGTTAATGGTTGACTGTCGTGAATAATGAAGAGAAGAATAATAATTTATTTCATTACACTACCACAACCTGATATCATGTTGCATAATCTCACTTCTTAAGAACTAACCTCCTGTGTATGTAATGCTAACATGAGCACTGACTATGATTTTTCATCATTCTTATATTAAGCTGGTTTTCCTATATTTCAAGATATATTAACATTCCTTTTGCACTTGATGTAAAATTTATTTATATATTTTTAATTTGTTCCTTCTTCCATAATGTTTTTTTTTTTCTTATAACTGTTTTTTCATTGTTAAGTAATTCTTTTTCATTGTTATTAACAGGTCGAAATTTGCCTTTGTAGGTTTAGTAAAGGGTGTATTTGCAACAGTCTTGTTTCGTCAGTTAAACAGTTTGTTGGGCATTGCAACTTTATCAGGTCAGTGGTTCAAGTCCTCATAATAAGTAACAATGTGAAAATTCACAATGCCCAAGGCTTAACCAGCAAAGGATACCTTCTTCTTTCCTGGATATCCTATTTATGGTGTTACTGAAGCAGTCTTTCCCCATTGTCAAGGTACCCAGATGTACACAATTTCCTTGCCTTTTCTCTATTGCCACCAAATTTTCTATATTTTTATTAATTACAAGAATCAATTTTGATTGTTTTCTTATTATCAATTTAAATTTTTTCTTCAATGGATTTTTTGTACATACATAACATCCATTACCTGTCCCAATCATCGTTGGTAAAAGTTAATTTCTTGATATTTTTTAATATTTTAATAATCAGAAATATTCAATCAGAAATTTCCCAACACTGGGTGTATCAGTATCTTTTTCAGAGAAAAACTTCCTTCTTTATTTATCTATTTTGATGGTCGAAATTGTATCTTTGGAAATGTTATTGGATTAATCACAATCCTTATTACATCAAATGATGAGCATTTCAATATCATTGTTGTCTTCACAATTAGAAACAAGTTAATGCGCTAAAAAAGAAAAAATATTAATCAACCCTCAAAATATATCTAAGAGATCATCTTTAGACAAAAAAGAAGATAATTAATTAACCGACATTAGGATGAAAACAGTGAATCGTTTTGTTTCCATTGATCTCTTGATAAAAAGAATGGAAGTCACTCTACAAGAAACTTTATTTGGTTTATTAAAATGCCAGATATAAACTATGACTGTATCTCTTAGATACATTTCAGAAAATAAAATATAGAGTTGGTTTTATCAAACCGTTCTCATATTTTTTTAATGTATTCTTCAAATTTCATAAAATAATAATTACCATTTTTGATCAATATATAAAGTATTATTAACTAAATTTTATATAATTTAAAATATCTTCAATTTACTTAATTTTTGTCCCAAATACCAGTGCATGGCAGATAAGAGAGAGCAGTATGTTTATGTTTTGTCATTATTTCCTAATTTAGTATATTTCTTGATCACATTATTCACTACTTTAATTTTAATATGTTAGCTGAATCAATGTTAACAAATATCATGAATTCAACTAACAATTACTTTATATCAAAACTGAAAAAAAAAACATTTTAAGACGATTAGAATATTTTGTTGACATTGTAAATTACTATTGTTTATTTATTATTTGTTTATTTATAAACAATTTTTAAAAAATACCTGAATGAAAGATATACCAATCATATTGCTCAATTGTTTAAATATGTCACTGGATGTCCATTTCTTGCAGGTGCTTGCAGTCTATATTTGTGATGGCTATACTATAGCAATACTAGAATCTTTTCATCACCTAACATTACCTATATTTTAACTATCACACATTTTAGGTACGAACCAACTTGTAGAAAATAGTTTAGTATGTATATCACTAATTCACATTACCTGCCATTATTTTTCCCCCAAGAAACATATTTTGTATTCAGAAAAAATAAAAAAATAACAATATCCTTGTACAGAGAATGAGTTGCAAGAAATTTTTTAGTGATTATGGCCATAGTATTGCTACATATTATAACATAACTAGTTATGTAGGATCTGTAAAATATTTTTCATCTATATTTTTCTCCTAAAATGCATACCACAGTATGATGAAAGCTTGAAGGAAAATGTTTAAAGCAATGAAAATAATTTGAAAAATATTGTAAATAGATATATATTTTTCTTTGAATATACAGTTTACTGTTTGCTTTTGTTAAAGTACCATATATGGAAATATTCTTTGTGGATATACAAGAGCATTTTTTATATTCTGAAAATTTGTATTTCATTGTCATAAACCTTAATAGACATAGTAGAAATAATCAGCTTAAACTAAAACTATTGCAGGTTTTAAAAATGTAAATAATAATAAAATATGTTGAGCACTGCCAGTTACACGAATATCTATATTTTGAAAAGGAACATTGTAAGTAGGTTTTTCATTGTTTAAAAATTTTTTCAAGCTTTCAAATTAATTGAAATTTTTACTATGAGTCTAAAGGATTATGCCATAATTTGGCCTTTAGATGAACGTAATATTTTCAAATTCTACAACACAAAAAACTGTAACACCTTTTTGATATAAATATGTTTATATATATATATATATATATATATATATATATATATATATATTATATATATATATATATATATATATATATACATATATATATACATATATAAATAAGTGTATATAAATAGTATCATCATCTATGTATAAATTCCTGTGACTTTCATTGCTAAATTAAATTTTATGTATCATTATGGTAATTATTATTGTTGTAATTATAATTATATTTTTTGGGGCACTATGAGCGTTATGTACTATGTAGACTGCTCATTTTTAACAAAAATAAAACAAATATACAAAAAATCAATATTCTAAAAACAGTAATGGTAAATATTATGTATAACGGAGACTAATTAATTGTCGTTTTTATTTCAATAAATTTTAAAAGGGAATCATTTACCTTTTTCATTATAATATATTGAAACGGAAAACTTAGATATATTTTTGTTAGCACTACCTAAAAGAAGCATATTTATAGTGACTAAAAATTTTAATAAATTAAAATATATACTGGAAAATTTTGGTGATGTATTTTTAAGTTTTTTTTTTAACATATAATTTAATAAGAGAGAGAAACACATGAAGACCTACACATTACTGAATCTTTGAAATATTAGAGGATAGAGAATCTCTAATCTGTCAACATAATCCTTAATTCGTTAAGGAGTGGCTGATAAAGTATTTTTACTCACTAATGTCTCATTTTGGATTTTCATTTATATTTCTTTTGTTTTTTTTTACCACAAACTACCAAGCTGAAAATTTCATAGCATTAAATAAATGTTAAATAAATAATGGATACATATCACATTTTTCGTTTAGAATTTTTCTACCACTGAATATATTCATATTAATGGAAATTATTATCTTATGACCTAATATAGAACACATGATTGCATAGTAAACAATCATTAACAAGCATTAATGTGGTACTTTTGATTTTTGATTTTTTTATTGCCTTATAATCTAAGTGTGGATCAAGATTTTAAATAAGTTGATTGCATAGTTATAACATGTCTAATAGCCACTGCAATATTTTAGACTACTGTTTTCTTTAAAAATTTTTAACAAATATTATAAACATTCTTTCTCCAACAAAAACTAATTCAACATAATCTTAACAGATAAAAAGTCTCTAAAATATAGCTCACTAGCTATATTAACAAATTTAACCACTGTATTCAAATAATTAATACAAATATTTCTGCATATCAAATCAACAAGGCATAAAATCAGTGTTTCTCTGTAGAAAATCTTTAAAAACATAAATATAAATATCAATGTAAATATGAAACAAGCTATTTTTTCACATGCATTCAATAATTTGCACAGAACAAACACCAATAAATGAAGTCTATTCATATTTTTCTTATTCCCTATTACTGAATTACAAATAGCCAATTTTAAAATTGCTTTCTTCAATATAAGAAAAACATTATTAATTAATTTTTTTTCTGAAAAAATATTTTCAGATGAAATTTTTATCCTCATTTTGCATCTAAATCATCAAAGCCTCATTTTTTAAACTTAATCATAGCAAACTTCATTCATTCAAAAGTTTAATCAATTTTTTAATTTTTCCACCCCTAAAGCACATAAAATTTAATGAGCGAAAGCATTACAACTAATATTGTTAATAAAATTTAACTACGAAATAGTAGAGCAATAAAGAACAAGAAAATATACATTAAAATATATTAAACCTAAAAGTATTTTAAATAATATAATTATAATTTTAAAAATAATGTGTTTTTTAGAAAGATTATATATATGATTGTCTTGGGCTGTACTTACTTACTTACTGACGGGCTCTACAGTCCAAGGTGTACCTTGGCCTGCTTCATGATCTTTTTCTAATCCTCTCTATCCTTCATTCTTTCCCTCCACATCTTGAGATGTAGTGATACACATTTTTTTCCATCATAATATATTTACTCACTGATTTATACCTTACACAGAATATTGTATAAGCATCTTACATTAGAGAGGACCCATCTTCTTATTAATACAGGGGCCAGGCCTGAAGATGTGAGAGACTCTGGATGTGCTCCATGAAAAAAAATATTCTACCACAAAACAAACACTGTAGTAAAGGAAAAGATTTTGATTACCAGAATAAACTAACTATTTTTAAGAATGGTGAAGTATAAATAGAAAAAATTCAGAAAGAGTGATAAATAGATATAATTCAAGAAAAAAAAATTAGAATAATCATTAAAAAAAGCAGAGTAGCATTGGTAATAAATTTTGAAATATTTTAACATTTCCTGTACCATTTTCATTTTTGGTCATTTTCTAATGTCTTACTCTTAAATTTTTTAAAATTATAGTATTCACTATCTTTATATCAGTTCAATATATGGCAAAATATTTATTACTTATTGTACTTAAATGATATAAATTGATATTACACACTATCATTGAAGCTTCTTTATTCATACTGCTATTGAAACAGATAAAATATAGGTAGTGCCAATCATTAACAAATGCCTGGTTGTGCAAGAATATACTTTCATTGAAGTTCACTATGGAATGTAGCTCAAAATTTATTCCATGATAAATTAAAGAGACAAGAAGATGGACAAATAAATATACAACTAAAACTTGATTCCAGGGGCAGTATAATGTGTAGCAGGGGTCTCAAAACTTTTTGGCCCTCGGGCCTCATTGAGACTTCGACTAAGTTCCACAGCCGCATTGAGACCCCCACCCAAGTTCCACATGACATGGTTTGTGATGAAAAAATAAATCTTGTTCTTTGGCACTTCTAAGAGAACAAAACCACACAATAAATATTTTAAGTAACCTCGTGTGTTAGTAATTTGCTAAATTTCATATTTTTAAATAGGTTTTAAAATTTTAATATGTAATCAAAGAAACTTTCGCGGACCTGATTTAAGGTGCTTGGGAGATCTGGCCTGCATGCCACAGTTTGGAATCATCTGATATATAGGATAATGTAATATGCCATATAATATAGAACAGTGGGGAAAAAAAAACACATTATGGCAAAAGCAATGCAAAGCATTCACACCCTTCTCCAATTATCCATGTTATTGATGGCAGTAATATTGATAAGTGTTATAGTAATAGTTTTAAGGATAGTAAATCTTATATTGAGATATTATTTATCTTAAAATTGGATTGCAATTTTTAAAAAAATTAAATCACTTCCACATGAGATATAACAAAAATTAAAGAAGAAATTACTTATTCTGGGACATAATGTCTCAAAAGTACAAAATAATTGCAAAGACTAGATATTCATATTCCTGACTACATTTACAAACCTGAACTTGTCAGTCATAAATGAATATAAATAAAATAATGAGTGCTTTGGCCTGATTATATGTAAGAAGTCATCTGTATTTCTTGTCGTTAACTCTGCATAAGGTTTTTTATATGAATAGTAAAATTTAAAAAAAATGGCAGTGAATCTAAAATTGAAATATTATTTCCCAAGGTCATCATTCAGAATGTGTGGTTGTCCAGATGATGCATAAGTTTACAAAACATGCACTTAATAATTATAATTATAAAATGTGGAAAAGCAGAATGGTCTAATTGCCTTCCACAAAATTAATTTATTTTTTACAATTGTAAATTCCAAGTTGCATATTATTATAAATGTGATTTTATTAGTTATAAAATCACATGAATTTAATTTTATTCAAATTGGTGTTTAAATTCTGAAAAAATGGTAAAGGCTTTTTCAGATTTCAATGCTAATTAGCAGTTTTTTATTGTTTAAAAGCTTTGTTTACAGAGTTTTCCAATAATAATTTATATAAACTGATATATAAATAAAAATTAAATAACTTACAAATAATGCAGAAATATTCAGATGATTACTTTTAATGAATTTTTATTAAAGTATTACAATAAAAAGACAATTTGGCAATTAAATTAAAATTTAAGTTGAGTAATGCTCAGAACCAGTATGCAATGAAAGTCATGAAGGTGGGAAGAAATTCCAAAAAAAACACTGGTGTCAAATAAAGACTCCATTGAATCAGAACCCAAATTTATTTATTTAAGTATTAACTTTTTTATTTATTTAAGTATTAACAGGTGAATTGTCCAATTACAGGTGATGATAAATATAAAAAACGACATATACTTTATCTAAAAATACAATTGGTGCAGATATCACTACACTTATACTACCCTACTTTGATCAGAAATTAATTTCTGCTCTAATAGGATTAGTTAATATTTAAATATATTATTCTGTAAAGTGGCTCTCACAGTGAGCCATATCTTTGAGGAGTGTCCTCGCTACAGGAGAAAGATGGAAAGACGTAGTGTACCTCGTCAGCTCTATGAGGCACTAACAGATAACGAACAACACATCAATAGTACCATTGGATTCATTAAGAACATAGGGCTAATTCAAGTAATCTGAACTAAATTATTTTTTTTTCACAATTTTGTGATATATTAACTTAATTTCTATTTACTCTATACTTTTTTCTTTTTCTTCTCGATAGTAATTTATATATATTTATTATTATTATTTTTTAAAACATATTTAATTTTATAATAGTAGTTTTATGATTGAAAAATAAATCAACCAGTACAATTTGAGGGCAATGATAACCGTCAGCAGTTTTTTGCCCCTAAACCCAAAACAACAACAAATATATTATTAATTAATGAATTATTAAAGGTTATAATCATATGTTTTTCTGCCTGTAAATTCTAATTGAAATATTTTTAACAGCATGCACTTCTTCAAATCTTCTCTCTCAAAAGTATATAAAATATTTTTTAAAAACAATTTTATCATATATTTTTAGTTTGTCAAGTTTAAAATAATTTAGTTTTCCATAATTTAAGTTTCCATTAAATAAAAGTAGGAAATATTAGCCAATATTTTTACTCCACTACCTTCTATGACTTTTTATCTAAAATATTATTTTAGATATTATTTTTTCTAAAATTCTCAGCTGTCTAACAATATATTATACATCTCTATTAATATTGTTATTTTCAAAAATGTATTTCGTAACATATTATTCTAGAAGAAAACATGTCTCCTTTTTTCTTGTTAAATTAATTATTAAATTATTTTATAGTTTATATTTTGCCATTACTATTAACAATTAGATACTGTTAACTATTTAAAATAAACAAAATTAAAGGCACTTTAAGAAAGCCTATTTGAAAATTTAGAATTTAAGTCCTATCAGACTATTTCTATAAAGATAAGACCTACCTGATGTTAAAACACACCCATACAAACACACATGCTTATATACAGTCCATTTGCGAGACTTAGTGATTTGGAATCAGTTGACCTTAACACATTTAATTATGTTTCAAGTTTATATTCAAAAATTTTCAAGATTACAATACTTTCCTTTACTATATATTTCATATATACGTAAGTGAGAATAAAAATAATAATATTATCACAAAAGATCAAAAATAAAATAAAATATGACTAGAAGCAAATAATTAAATATATAAATATTAAAACAAATTAATACCTTGCACCAATCCTCACCTCATCATATGTGAAGTATTAGATTTTGCAATGCATATGATGTTAATCACTTTATAAATGGGCGAATCACTTCTTGCCCAATTTCCCTGGATATAGGCATGTGTTTAGTAGGTAATTGGATCTGCCTTTTTAACACTAACAAAAACAATGATCCTTCCACAACCAAGTTGTTGTGTGAACTTAGGAGCTCAGTGCCCTACTCACTGAGCTATCCTGACTCTTTCGATACTGTGTAATATATATATTTTTCATATATATTTCTCCAACCCTAATAATCTACCTATCTAATGAGCAGCATTCCTTGTAGGTGGATGTCAGGGTATGATCAGCAGAGGATTTTAAAAATCAAATGATAACTTAAACGCAACAAAAACAAGAAAATATTTACTTCAATCAGAAAAACATTTTTTTTTCTTTTTTTTTTTTGTTAGGTTTACAATTTGGTAGTAGGTTAGGTGTTTCAGTCACAGTGAAAAAAAAATTGTGATTATTACTAAATGTTTTATTGTTTTTAGTGGTTTTCTTTTTGTAGATTTATGTAATTAATCTTATTGTTAAAAACTAAGTTAAGAATAACAATTTATTAACAAGTCTAAGCATAAAACGTAGAAGAATATAAACATATTATTTTATGATTTTTATATTACAATTTTTTTGATTTTTTTATATCATTTGGTTGTTTTGACCCCAAGTCAGTCAATAAAATAAGTGATATTATAAGATGATATTTATTTCAAAACATTTTACCTAAAATATGGTTATAAAGTGGTTACTTTTATGGAACTGTTTACTTTATTATTTTTTTTTTTTTTTGCACTTACATATATTTATCCACACCTGTCAATTATAACTATTGACAATCAGCAGATGTGCTGGCACAGTCATGAGAAAAAAAAAATAATAATAAAAAAAAATAATAAAAAAAAAATAAAATAAAAAATAAATAAAATGGCTTGATAGGCATGAGGAAAAGCAATACCCATCGGCATCCTTTCCATGGCTTTTACTTACATACAATTACATAAGTAGGTCCCTCATCCAGACCCTTTTCAGTCGTCTTCTGGAGTTCTCTGGCATAATAGTTGTGGCCATTTCTTTAATTAGCTGGTTGGAGTGTCCATGTAATTTATTATGGAATCGTTTGTAGTAAGTTCGCATGTGTTCATTGATCGTTGGCATGTGTAAGTCAGTGTGTAAAGTGTTATTATTCACGTACCAGGGTGCTTGGGTAATTAGTCGTAGTATCTTAGACTGAAAAGTTTGAAGTCGTTTTATGTGTGTTGTTTTGCAATTCCATATATTTGTAATCCATAAGTCCAGAGAGGTTTTAATAGGTATGTATAAATATTTAATTTCTGTCTTGCTTTTAATTTAGAATGTCGTCTTAGTAATGAATGCAATAGTTTTAATCTGTGATTTAATGATGCACGTTTTTTCTTTACATGTGGACCCCATGTCGTTCTTCTGTCAAATGTCAGGCCTAGGTATTGTACTCTATCTGTTTGTGGAATCGGTATGTTGTCTAAGTATACAGCAGGGCATGTTTCTAGTCTTAGA